TTTTTTTTCATTACTCATTATATGAAGAATAGAATTAATAAAACCAACATAAAATGACAACTTTAAGTGTAATAGTCGAAATAAAAATAAAAAATAAAAAATAATGATTTGGAATTTATATGACGTTTCGAATTATTCGATGATCATTCTCAATTTGTTCATTTATGTTAATTTTAAAATGTATGTAATTTATATGTAGTGAACGGACAATTAATATATTTGGATTAGTTATTAGGATATGTCGTTACTTGAACTGGCTATCTAATAGATCGACACGTCGTATAATGAACAAAATGAAATTAAAAATAAAGAAAATAATACAAAATCACTATTTTTCACGATTACTGTAATTGTTGTACAAGAATAAAGTTGTGACTTTGTAAGAGTAAAAGCTTGATTGTTTTATTTGTGTCACTCTGGCAATGACTTCGAAAATAGTTTTTCTCAATCATGTCGACTTCAAAGAGTATTCTTTTTGTAATTCCGATTTCGATGAAGAACTCTACTCGAGTTATATGAATGTCATATTTTGTTTCATCATGTCTGTAGATAAAGAAAGCTTCTTTTGTCATTTCCGTCATCTGATTATGCTTTTATTATGTACTGTTTCATTATTGAGAAAAATAGAACAACAATACTCATTCGGCTACAATACGGTTATTGATCGATCACATAGATCAGTCAGTTAACAATAATGAATAGTTACTTTTACCCGGCGATTGGTTATGAAACACAGTAGATTCTTTGTTTTCTGAAAATATCTTTGTTACTTTTCATTCTTCGTTTCTTTAAATGATATAGCCTATTCATTTAAGAAAAGAATGCAAAATAATGAATTTGACCGGATATGATTTGAGTGAACTACCGGCCGTTGGATATTGAGTTAATACTTGTATTACTTGTGTAGTGGATTAAATAAATAAATGTTCTCACACATCTTCATCTGCATCATCAAGGTAATTCTTTGGAAACGTCAATAGCTGAAAAATACTCGACTGAAATTGTGTTTTCATTTTTTTTTAAAGAAAACAAATGTAATACACGTAGTTCTTAAAAGTATTAGAATAAATTAATTAAAGAATCGAAATGATTTCATGATAAACAATTGAGGATCAATTAAAAAAAAAAGATAGCTCAAAGTTATCGAATAGTTAAAATCCTCGCTATGAAAAATCGTTTTTTTTTCAAGTGATTGACCTTGATACAAATTTTAGAGGATAAGTATTGTTCACTGAAAATTTCAGCTCAAAATATTGAATTCAACATGGCTTATTCTAATATCAATGATCAACAGATCGGTATCATTATATTTTAATATTCTCCGATAGATTATATACTTGAAAGTTTGGCAGTGCTGAGTTCAAATATAACCGAGACTAAATATTGAAACTCGACTTGTGTGTCAGCTTTTTCTCTAAAGCTTTTTCCATTCAATATTTTTTCGAACTAGGTTTGTGAATAAAATTAAAAGTATTTCTGTATCCTAGAATGATAATCATTCTGTGATTTCAAACCAAGGATTATGTCTCATCCTTAAAGCTCGTGAACAAGTATAAAAATCATTGATCAATGTTCCTCAAACCTAAAATTAGTGGAAAATTTCTTTGATCATAAGAAAAAAATCACAACTTGTATAGTTTTTATCTTTGTTGCTAAACGTGCAAACAGTAAAAACTAGAATTTATATCAATTTAAAGTATTCTATGCTTGAATGTGTTGAAATATTCCGATTTTTTCCGTTACACATCTAGTAGTCAGCCAGTACAACGCAACGTTCGCTATATCTTTTCATTTGAAATTAACGTTCAGTATTACTGATGATATCAAAAGCATAAGTCGAGCATCCATGTCATCATTATTTGTTTTGATAGTGACGATAGTCGATCGATCGTCTTTTATTTACAATAAACATCAATGTCAAGAAGACAATAAAATATTTAGATCAGAAGAAATTATTTCAATATTAAAAAATAGTATCTCAGATATTTTCTCATCGTTATTATAATCGAATTTATTTTAACATAAGTAAACAAAATCTTATTCTCTATTGTTTTCTTTTTACTGAAAATACTTTTCTCAATCTTTTTGGAATCATCATTCGATAACTTTTCTTTGCTTCTTCTATTTTAATTTCTTCTAATGTACAAATCTAGCAAAAATATACTGCAACAGTTAAGAATAGCTTTCCAAAATTTTATGTTCTATTTAAATTAAACGTTATATTTTGATATTTAATACAGTTACTGGTTAAGATTTCGTATTATTCTATACAGACGCAAAAGGGCCTGAACAAAAATTATTCAATTTTTCCGCATTCCGGAAACATAATAAAACGAAAGTACCTTAACAGAATTTAACTACTTCAGTATCGATTCCTAAGGATCTTATCGATGCCATATTCTACTAAGTGAATAAAATAATTCTATTGAGAAACATAACCGATGTACTTTATCGAAGAATAAAATATAAGTAGAATTTTCCGACCGCACTCATATTGTCATATCCATACGTCGATTATTGGATGCGAATCATTTGTACCGAGCATGAGTTTAGTGAGTGAAGAAGAAACGCGGAACAAATGAAACATATAAGGAAAGAATGAAAGAAAGAAAATAAGGAGAAATTCCGATGGAACACATCTATGGAGTGATCAACCTGAGGAAGTCAAATAATAGCATCAATCACGTTAAATAAAGTAAAAAGGTTAGTGGATAGAGATGATCTTGAGAAGAATTGGATTAGTATTGATCATTCGTTTTCAGCAAGCAGAACGTTTAGATGAAACGTCAACAAATGCAAAAATGATGCTCGATGGAAAATGAAAGAGAACGAAGATCATTGACTAGTCATTCGCATCATTTTGATGTCGATATTAGAAGTTAAATCGAACAACATGTGTGGAAAATAATCTCAACAGATATCTTTGTTTTTGAATTCGCTGATCAATTGATGAAAAATATTCCCATCAAACATGATTTCTTTGAGAAGTATTTGTGAATTTATCCTTTGCAAATGAAAAATGGTTCGTAATATCTATGATATGAAAAAAGAGATTTCATTAAATAAATAGTTTTGTGCGATAAAATGAATTTCGATGATGAAATTTTGAAATACACTATACTTGATGTGTTTAAAATATTCAAAATTGATGTTTAGATTGTTCGGTCACAAATATCAAATATTTTTTTATTCTGTCATTGCGTTGATTTAAATGGCTAACTTAATTTTCGTCTTGATTTGACATGAATAAATAGTTTAAAAATTTTTAGTGCAGTGACAGAGATCGAACCAACATTTCTAATAGGAACCAAAAAAAAACTGTTCGTTTCGTTGAGTATTGATCAGTCTGAAATAATTTGATTCGTAAACGTGCGTTTATATTGAACGATGGAACGAAAAAATTTAATTTTCACCAGTGAATGCAACAAAAATAATACCTAAAAAAAATTATCCATATCGTCCTTGAACGATTTTGAAGAATGATGTTTTTTTGTTCGATGTGAAACGTTTCCTAAGACGTTGAACATTCATTTTTGAAAGGATAAGTCTCATTTTACGAATTCTTTATCTAATCGAACTTATTTTTTCCTCGATAGATCTGTTGTTGCTAAATAACTCTACATTCAATACGGTAGCAGTGTAACCAAAAGAGATTGACCAACAATTAAGAGTAACACTGATCTGCTTCAGGCTTATTAAAAAAATTGCTGTCATGTATCAAGTGTTTGTTTGCTCATATATGAAGAATAAAGTTATTGTCAAGTGACAAGAAGAAGAACAATCTTTTGACCGATGTAACTCCGGCTCTGTCGGAGTTTAAATCGAATTTCAGGTGCTTCGCAAGAATCTACTGTCGGTCCATATACTGTTATTGTTAGAAGCTTTAGACATCGATTACTGTGGACTATAAGAGATAGAATGGCATGCAATAATGAGACTTTTTGTGGTACAAACATGAGTTGTTCTATCTGAGCTTGTAGAGACTGAGTTTGGAGACAAACGCATATTCTCATATCTATTATTGTCTGCATTGATACTTTATTTTACTATCGAACTTTCTTACTTTCTCTTTGTTAGATTTTTTTTACAGTTATCACTTTAATATATTCTATACCTTTCTTGACAAATTCGAGTTTGATCACTTGAAACCCTAGTACACAGCATGTATGACGTAGTTGATCCCATTGATCGAATTAATTTATGACATGAAAAATATATTTTTTCTATGTCACAATAGAAGCATGACAACCTTTATTAAAAACATATTGTTGATAAACCTAATCATCTTTGAGAATCTAAATTTGTTGATCTGCATACTTATTCATTTCCACAATGTATTTATGACACTATACGTCAATTTCATTACTTATCATTATCATTCAAGATTTTAAAAATTTCCTCTCAATATTTGTCGAAGTTCTCTCGAATCATATTTTCTTTCTTATTAGTGTCGCATAGTTCACGACTAGGTGGTTTTAAGAGAAGATTCATGCTGTAACGAATAGCGGCAACTTCATAAACAAGTGCTGAAAATGGAAGATTTTTAATTCTTTTTTTTGTTGTAAAAACCCATATCTGCTTGTATCATTCACATTGAATATAGCCTCTAAATAGATATTTAAAAAGTCTATTTCTAATTCACTGTTTGGTTGCTCTAATTGAAAAGCGAATTTTTTCTGTATGTAACACAGAAAGGATAAATTTCTTAAACGAAAGAATATCTGAATAATTTAAAACAACAAGTATATTTAGATAATATATCATGTTGATATTTGAAACACCGCTAATAACTTTAATCCAGAATCGATCAATAGTTTGAATGAGATAAATGAAATTCTTTTGTTCGTATAGAAAATTTTTATTCAGGATTATTTCATTTTGAAATATTCAAGTTTTCAAAAAAACATCATGTATAGTCTTTATTATCTGCAATAAAAACGATGTGTTTTAAATACCAATGTTGAAATTAAAATTTTGTTCATCTACGCCCTTAATCATCTTTAGTGTTCATTGACATGTTGAGAACGATCATCATGTGTCATTTTCAATGGAAATATCATAAGGCATATAGGACATTTATTGATTTCATCCTTATCATTCAAATCGCGTCCTTTTGAATTGTTGCTATTATTGATTGATCGACTATCATCATTTGAAGATTCAACCGGCAATAAATGCGGACTTCATAAAGAAGTATAAAGATTGTAAGAAAAAAACTAAATAATTTGCATACAAAACTTACACTGTCTGATTTGAAATTGATGATGCAGATTCAATATATAAATCTCTATTTTCACCGTGATTGTCTTTTATATGATTGACGTGTTCAATTATCGGCTTTTCTACAAGTTTGTCAGTTTCAGGCTTAGGTGTATTAATTTTTTCCTTTTTCTTTCTTTCCATTTGTTCGAACACAGTTATAACTTTAAGACCTTGCATTTCACCAGTAACAAACTCAAGCTGTGCTACTTGAAACTCTAATAATTGACATTCATTGCGTAGTTCTTGAAATAATTCGATGTTTCGTGCAGCATAACAAGCACGTGTTGTGTCAATGTTTTCTTCACGTTTTTCATCAAGAGTGAGTCGTTGACGTTGACAATCCTCTGCTAGAATACGGATTTGCTCATCTGCATACTTATTCACATCATCAATGGTTTTCTGACGCCATTTATTGATCTCGTTAACGGTTTCTAGAAAGCGATCTCTCAGTTTCTCCCAATGATGGAAGAATATTCCTCGAATTTCATTTTCTTCGTTAGTGCTGTCGGGTAACCAGCGAAAAGGTTCGGTCAAGTTGATGTTCATAGTTCAACAAATATCTATAACATTCCATAAAATTTATAATTGATGAATACAAAATGATGAATCATTTCTATGAAATTTTAATTATCTTCATAAGTTCTATATAGTTTTTATTTATAATAATTACGTTTTGTCATTCACAATTATTCATTGTTTTGATGTATAGAGAAAAGAAAAAGAAAAAAAATGAGCTTGAACAGTTAAAAAATAACTGGAAAGAAATTGATTCTTTCAAATAATGTGTTGCCGAGCAAATAAGTGAAAGAACAGAGAATAACTACTTCGACAACATTTTTTATTTCTTGATTTCTTCATTCAAACATACACAATAATGGCTAGCAGCGATCGTCGAACAAGTTTGTCTCCAAGTGAACGACAACGAACTAAAAGTCAATCATCTTACCGATCATATCGAACAACGCCAAATACGCCTTTATATGAAGAAGATGATCAACGAGAAAAAACATCTTCACAAACATCAAGACGAAGTACTCGCGAAACGAATCCAACAAAACGTTCAGAAAGTTCAACAAGTAATCGATCAAGTGCTGCATTATCTCCAATATCGAATGCATCGAGAAAACCAAGATCTAGTTTAAAACCATCAGCATCACCAACAACAAATCGTAGATCAGTTTCAAGGAGAAAAAAGAGACCACTAAGTGTGATTGATATTGAAAGAAGACAATTATCAGAACCAAATGATTCTGAAAAACAAGACTTAACTGCACAAGGTCTTTCTATGGTACCAGCAGAAATCTTTGAATGTACGTTTATTAATAGTTTTAATTAATTGAATATGATTTCTATATGATTTTTTTCCTAGTTATTACTCTTCGTCGATTAATTTTATCAAATAATAATCTATCAGGTTTACCACCAGCAATAAATTCATTAATTAATCTTGAATATCTTGATCTATCACATAATCCATTAGTTGTTAACAATGGTTTTGATGATTATTCATGTTTTCCACGTGAATTTAATAATTTAAAAAGTCTTAAAACATTAATTTTATCTGAATGTGCATTGAAATATATTCCAGTTGCTGTTTGGAATGTAGTTAGTCTTCAAACACTTGATTTAAGCCGAAATAAAGTTGGTTATATTGTTGGCGATATTGGTAAATTAAACAATATACATTCCATTTTTTTTTTCGAAAAATAATTAATGTCTTTTTTTTGAAGGAAAATACGACAAGGAATAACTTTGAGTAATTCTTTTCTCAATTTAATAGTACAAATAACGAGAATATAAATATTTCGAGACTTTCTTTGTTAAAAATTTTTTGAAATTTCACAAACTCTCAAGAATACGAATATCTATATCAAAACTTTTCCATCAATCTACAAAACAAAACAAAATAAAATCTACTATGTTCTTTTTACTAAATATTTTAATTCGTTTTTTTTTAATTAACAGGTAATTTAAGCGATATTCGACATCTTCGTTTATCTCATATGGATCTTGATACACTTCCACCTGAAATTGGTTTTTGTGATAAACTTGAAACAATTGATTTAACAGAAAATCCAATTGATAATTTACCTGAAACCTTAGTTGAATGTCGTCAATTATATGAATTTAAAATAAATTATAAAACATTTTATAAATTGCTTGATGCTTATATGTTACAATTAATTGAAGAAGGAAAAATTCGTTCTGAACATATACCACAAGTTATATTTGAACTAGAAAATTTACGTATATTAGATTTGAATAATACAAAAATAAATTCCATATCAAATGAACATATGTTATTAAATCTTACTGAATTATATCTATCAAATAATTCATTTTTTGATATACCAGAAGCAATATGTACAATAGAAAAATTAAAAATCCTAGATATGTCACATAATCGTATTCCAACAATACCAGAGTATTTTATTAAAATGAAACAATTAGAAATAGTAAACTTTTCATATAATAAATTAACTTTACTTTCTAAGATTTTTGCTTATTTACCAATATTAAAAGAACTAATTATTAGTCATAATAAACTCGATACAATTGAAAATGAATTTTCAAAAACTCAATCATTATTAACACTTGATTTATCTTATAATAATTTAAAATATTTACCTGATGAATTATGTGAACTTGCACAATTAGAAACACTTGATTTACGATACAATAAACTTGAATATCTTCCATCTAATATTCGTCATATGATTGGACTTAAATCCATGAATACATTTGTTGGTACATTTCAACGTTTTGGGCTTCATCTTTTAGGTAATTTAATTACTAATCCACCGAGTTATATATGGAAATCAACAAATATACAGACATTATTTAATTATATTGAAGTAAAAGAAAAAAATCTTACAAATAGTTTTTATCATCTAAAATTAATTCTAATTGGACCAAAAAATATTGGTAAAACAACATTAGCAAGAAAACTTGTTAATAATCGAAAAAAAGTTTCAAATACACGAAAAACTATTGATATGTATGTTTCTATTCTTCAACAAAAACAATTAAACAATGATGAACAAGATAATTCTCAACAACAACAACAACAACAAACATCAAATGATCCTACATCATCTGCATTAGTTGATCAATGGATTGAAAATCGTATATCAACTAGTGGTGATTATCTTTATAGTCGACATTTAAAACTAAAACGAATAAATCCACCACCACTTAAAACTTATCGATCAATTGAAACAACGAATTCTATTATAAATAAATCAACACTTATTACAAAAAATAATTTTTATTGTACAATATTTGATTTAGAAAATGAACCATGTTTTGAAATACTTTATCCATTAATTTATGATTCAAATGCTTTATATATATTACCCGTTAATTTAACTATTCTATTAAATAATTTTCAAGTAACTACTAGTTTAGGAAATATCAATGAGTAAGTATAGATTTATAAATAAATCAAGTCAATAAGATTTATATTTTATTTTAAGAGATGAAAATTCATCAACAATAATTAATTTTGATGCATTATTGACAAACGATTGGTTATATTATCATATATTTCGTTATCTCGAATCAATATCTGATCATTGTCAACAAGTATCTGTTACAATTATTGGTTTAATTGATGATTCTCAGTTAACATCAAATGATCGACAACAACAACAACAACAACTTCTTGATGAAATTCGTTCAAAAGTGAATGCATTTTTAATTGATGAAGAAGATCAACGAGAAAATATCAAGTTTTATTCGGAGTATTTTCTAGAACCAATTCATATAAATGATGATCAAATATCGTCATTAATAATTGAACAATTAGAAACGATTGCTCAACAATGGAATATTGTACATCACAAACAAAAACGACTACTTATTAAACAACGTTTTGCTTTTCTTAAACCTGATGCTTTAATAATCAATTATGATACTTGTTTAAAAAGGTTCGAACAACAAAAACAAGTTCCATTAATTTTATCAGACAATGACGATGAAATCGAAGAAAATAAACAACTTATTGAAGAAGAACTAAATTCAATGTCGTTCGATGAATGTCTTGATTATTTAAAATTAATTGGAGATATGTTTTGTTTTGGCCAAAAATCTCATATGAGAATTCTTATAAAACCTTATCATTTATTAAATAAAATATTATCTAATACTCTATTTCGTCCTAATATTGATCAATGGTTAAATTATGATGATAATATGGTATTTCGTTTTTCTGGTTATTATCCATCAGAAAAATTATTTGATATTGATCGACAACGTTTATTAACACGTGGCGAATTTACATGGAATATGCTTAATGTTTTATTTTATGAACAAAATAATAATAATATTAGTTTAACTGAACAAAAAATATTTGATTATTGTTATTTAATGGAACGATTATATCTTGGTTATTTAAATCAATCAAATCTAAATTGTAAGAATAAATTATTAAATTTTTATTCATAATTTTTTTCTTTGTTGTTGTTTTTTTTTTTTGATCGTGAATTTACAACAAGTTATTTTGTTTGCCCATGGTTAATGAACGAAAAATGTTTAGATATTGATTATATAAATTATTTTAAATCACTTGAACAAAAACGTCAATATGAACATCTTCAATGTGAACAATCAAGACGTATAAAACAACAACAATTATGGTTTTCAATAGATAACAAAGAAAATATTGAAAATGAAAGTTCATTACAAATAAATACAATGAATTTAACTCAAAAAGAAGTTTATCAAAACATTTCAATTATAATTTCAGAATTACCATCAGTTGATCAAATTCAAATATTTGATTCACAAATAATAAATCAAGATTCTATTCAAACAATAAAAATTTTAAATGGTGATTCAAATATTTTACCAAATGGATTTTATGAACGTTTATTAATATGTTTACATCCTCTATTTTATGAACGACTTGATTATTATAATTTAACACTTGGACGAACTATAGATAGAAATTTAATTAAAATTGAACGATTTGATGAACACAATCAAATTCATCTTACAATTAATAATAATTTACTCGAACGTATACAAAATATTCTCACACACAATCTTTTCTCATTTTATTCTACTAAAAATCTCCGAATAGAAACATAAAGAAAAAAAGAAAACATGTTTTTAATTCATTTAATTCTTTTTATTTAGTTTTTTTTTTGTATGTAAAAATAAAACAAAACAAAACA